TTATATGAGGATGTTATGTAATTGTTTCATAACAGATTTGATGATGTGGTTCTTGACCGGGCTAATTGCTGCATTAAATGCTGAGTCAAAAGTGAAAGCTGCACTGTGAAATAATCCAAGGTTGTCCCACCCAAACAGCCTCACGAATTACTGGGATGATAAGAAATACTTGTTTAAGCTCCAAGATGCAGCCTTCCTGTCAGATGGGATTTCCAGCTTATGGTCCGCTCTGTATGCCTCAGAAAAGGCCTAGTACACTTTCAGAGAGCGGAGACAAAAGTTGAAAAGGGGTGACATTTTAAGTTGACTTGACAGTTTGATCATAGGCCATGTATTTAAAACAGCAGCACATAAAACAGTGGAAGCAGTGTCACCACTTTTGTGTCGATTGTCTTGCTCTGTTCTTTAACATAAAATATCTTTTTTAATAAACTCTTACTGACTGTATCAATAATAAGACACACATACAGAGCAATAGTATTTTGTGTCTTTTCTTAAACAAATAATTAAATCTGCCAGTGGGGTAAGAACATTTTAACATTCAATCTTTAACCTGAATTTACTGAGGACATTGACTTGAGACTGGTTTCACAGATGTGTCAGTGGAACTATCCATACAACAAAAAGTTCCAATTTAAACTTCTAGCAGACCACAGCACATTTCTACAAGATGTAATTTATATATCAGGTTTAGAAGCAAACAGTGTGAAATGTTCATTTCCTGCTGAGTAATAAATGTCTAGGGCTTTGGATGTGACAGGTAAATAAATACTAGTGATGTTACTTACTGCGCCAAGGCTTCTGAGCGTGGTTCGAGTAATCCAGGATGTTTTTGGTGAAGCGTGTATCGAGGCTTGTATCGAACCATTTGCGAATCAATTGGCTGGAAAGCTTAATAAGGCTTCATCTCACAATCACTACTATACAGGCCGTAGGTGGGTATCCTTACTAAATGTTCCCCCTGATAGCCAAGCTTATTGCTAACCAATCCCTATAAATAAATGCTTAATGAAGTTGCAGACCACCATCAATGATTATACTATGCATTGCCTTTGTCAAGGTTAAAGTCAATAACATTTGCCTTCTGGACAATAGAGCCTCTGTGTTGTTTTACGTGCTCAACCCCCTCTCAAAAAACGTGATTAGTTGAGCATTTATTTAAAAATAGATGTAAAAAATATGAAATACAAAAAATGCCCCCAGTGTTTCCCATTGATTTCAAATACCAACAGTAAATCGATCCATCTTTAATTAGTTGACGAGAAAGAGTGAAAAAGGTGGACCCAAGACTAAAAGCTACAAAAACTGGAAGTAATAACTTTATTTTCAAGGTTTGTGGAGGCAACAGTTATCAGAACAAAGCCAAGGATCAAACAAAGATTGAAATGTAACCAGCAGCACTCAAATACAAACACATCTGATGAGGGTATGAAGTGCAGGTGGAGATAAGGGAGAAGAAGCTCAGATGAGGGTAAGACAGGAGAGCAGGCACGAAGCTGATTGGCTGTGAAAAACTCTGGGAGCAAGGCGGGACTAACGAGACTGATTGGAAACAGATGTGTAGATGAAAAGGTATAGGAGCTATAGAAACGGTGGTAGGACAGGATCAACAAACAAAGAAACACACACACGCTGAGCCTTCTAAAAAATAAAACGTAATATTTTCCATCCTGTTGTTCTTCTTTTTTCCAGTGTGAACAAATTATTAACCATTTCCCCAAAATTAGCAATTTTCTAAGGTCACAGTAAAACGCTGTGCTCTGGAACCCATTTCATGTTGGTTAAAATGCTAAGAAGGGTTAAAAATAAGTAGCATGGACCAAAACCTGTTTCATGTTGTTGGGAAAATAGGGAAGATAATCAACTGTAAGCACTTTAATTAAACATGGTTTTATTCAGTGTTTGACAGAGGAACAATTTCATGAATTCAAGTGCGTCATCTGTGCCTGCACAGATGTGAGCCTGTAAGAGTGCCAAAACAACAAGTGCTGGTTTGTGAGTCATCGCCCCCCCATGTGTAATCATCCAGAGGGGCACAGTAGAAAGGTTATCTGGCGTGTCCTACAGAGAACATATCAGGGCTAGCTGTTGGCTGAGGTGCTGTTGGCGGCTGCTGTGTGTTGTCTTTACTCAGCAGGGGAGGAGTGATGGTAAACAACTGTGACGGTGGGTCATGGTTCTGGGGAAGCGTGCCAGAAAGCAAAATGTCAGCACATCTGCATCACGGAGTTCATCAACAGGTCCGTTGGCCATGATTTCTAATGAGGCTTTGAGAGCTCTCCAAGTTTAGGCTTTAGGGTTAGGTTGTTTCGGCTTTGGAGTGAGATTCTATCAAAGTGGAAATTCAGGTGATAAATATTGAAAGTCTTCTAAAATATCTATTAATAATGATGAAATATAAGTGTGGTGGGTCCCTTGTAAAAAAGCAATGGGATTTTTCCATTGGATTCTGGTGCGGAAAAATAATCTCTGTTTTAAACACACATTTATGATACTTGCCACCTTTTGTTCAGCAGGATAATCTCCACATATTAACACCACTTCGTGTTTTGAAGGCTAAATGCAATCAGCAGAAGTAAAACATGAGCGTAATGTTATCAACAAACCAGCTCTGCATCACCAATGCTAAGCTATTTTGTCTTTCTGTGAATCAAAAAATTTACTTTTTATTATAAAGTCACAGCTTTCTTTGTACTATAACTACATAGCGTTGTACCCCACGCATTTAAAAACGATGTCTTGCACATAGCTTTTGCCCAAGCCACGATCTTCTCATAAACCTACAAAGTTGTTTTATGGCCTGAACCAAGTAGTGTTTTTAGCCTACATATATGCAAATTGTCTCAATGCCTAAACATAACCAGGTAGTTTAAATCAACAAACATTGCCAAGTTTCTTGATTGTCTAAATGTAAATAAGTATTTTCATTGTACTTTAACTGCCTTAACACAACTAATACGTTTTTCAAGCCTTTACAAAGAGTTCACTTTCACAACGATAAATAGAACAGTGTTATGTGTTGTTTTGGGAGTCAGTGTCAATTTATTTATTCTAATAGATAAGTGGAATGTTAAATGGGGGCTCTATTCACGATCCATTAAAACCCAAGAAAAGACAGCTTTTGAAGTAATAAAGTAATCCAAGACAGGGTTAACGCACTCCCACCTCAGTCCTTGTTCTACCATTACCAACTGTTTATCAACATGCCTTACCATCTTGCCAAAACATTTTTAGATCCACCTCCACATGCAAGCAAAAAAACATCACATCCCACCTCCACCAGCCAGGCTGACTTCATTCTTAAAGCCCACTCTCTTCTGCTGTCGTGACCCACAGCCGTCTGGTTTGTTGATGGCCGTCTACCATGCCTCTCGCAATACCTAAGGGCCCTTGTTAAAGTTCATACTCTAAAAACATGCACATATACATTTTTATCAAACATAAACTGAGCTCTTGATTGCATATGTCATAAAAGTGCTTTTTTTTATCCCAGATAAGAAGCCATCTGAGGTGAAACCAACAATATAAGCTGGCTTTTGTAAGCATTAAGGCTGTGGAGGGAAAAATGAAACCTCTATAATTGAACAGCTGTCGTGGTATAAAATGTGCGCACTGCAATCGACTGTGACCATGCCCATCATTTGGGTCTGTGTTTGCTCTGACACGATAAATAATAGGGCCTTGTGAAATGTAGTTTCTTCTGTTTTCAAATGGTCCAGTGAAATCCAACGGCCATGCAGTGCACATATCTCTGCTGGACACATTTTAATTTAGCTCCTCATTATGTGCCAGAAGCAAACTGTGCCTGGAGGTTGTTGGAGTGCCGTTTGGGGAGTGAACATCATTAGTTAAATAAAATCTGTGGCAAAGTTTGAGGAATAGAGAATCGGCGCAGTTAGTAAGCAAATGGTGAGGGGACAAAACAAAGATAAAAAAGACATTGCTGCCGCTCAACACAACTCTGCAAGCTGAAAACACAGTTCACACGTTCCCAATAAGCTGTTAAGAGAAAATGCTGGAGGCTAAGCATTCAAATAGACAGAGCAACAGCTACGTGTTTAGTGCTGTCTTGCAGTCGACTTAGGATGAGATTTAGCTTCCTGACATGAGACTAAATAATGTGCTTCATCATCTTGTCTCTAAAGTGTGATATTTAAGGAACTCATAGAAAGCAAAGTGTGGCCTTATAACCTTATAAGGCATTGTTACAGCTGGACCTCCACAGTTTAAAGGCCACGTAGAGACTTCTTATGTGAATGGCAACATGCCCTCATCCTAAATGTCAAGACTGACGCAAAGCTGTTGTTTTTTCTTTGTCCATCTGCAGCCTTAATTAGGATAAAAATACTATCGGTAGCTCAAATAAATCATTAATGAGTGGCATGACATTAAGAACTACAGACCCTAATATCAAATAATTGTTCAACATTACTATAACATTGTGTACAATGTTATAGCCCTACATAACACACAATAACCTATAATATGTACAGTATGGGTATACATGGATATTTACAGGCATACCATTATCTTAATTGTTCTATGTTCTTCATCCTATGCCAACATTTTCTTAGCAGAATTGACACATTTCCTGACAGATTTTTTGTGGCTGTGTATGTAGATCACATTTTAAGAAAGTGTGCCGATGTATCATATACATTTGTTTGGATGCTATTTGTAACAATGGCATTTTTACATTTTCTTTGAAGTATCTACATTATAAATGAAGGCTTTTATCTTCACCAAACACAAAGAGCTGTACATCATCACTCTACTTATCCCATGCATCCACCTAGTGGCCAATATATGCAATTACATGTCAGTGCTTCAACCTTTCAAATAGAATCATCATTAAAAAACTACAGCCAGATAGGTTAGCTGTTTAAACAAAAACGAGTGCATATGGTCAAAAAATATAATATAATTTTGTGAGAATTCAGAAGTCACATGTTAAAGTGTATCATGTTTATTTATTGTCAATCCACTGCGCCTGCGCACACTAGGTGAGGGTTAGGGCTATTCAGTGTGACACATGTTTTGTTTTCTATCCATAATAAAATGGGACAGTTAAGCTAACAAGGATACTTTCGAAAAGCTTCTCAGGTAAAAAGCTCACCGAATACGAGTATTTATCATTGTGCATTCGTTGTTTTCGTTTGTCAAATGAGAATTAGGTCTATGTCGCAGCTAGTATCAGCAGCTAGTATGTTTGCGTTAGCAGGACGTCCAGCCGCTGCAGAACACACTGAGGCTAGCTGCTAGCTGTTGTTAGCTTTAGTAAACAACACGGTACCTCCTATTGCCTCAGATATGAGTCAAACTAAAGAACCTACCGTTTAGTAGTTACTTGCTAATAAAGCTATTATTCCCAACCAGGTAGATGAGCAAATGTAACGTTAGCCATCCGGGGGTCCCTACCTTTAGGGGCTAACGTCAACATAATTTTGCGTTGCATGTTCAATTGAAATGCAGTCCACCAAAGCACTATAAAGGTAGATAATAACAGTAATTTAAAGGCTGCATAATACAACATGTGATTATATATTATCGTCTCACTCACTAAGGTTGTTATTATACCATTACTAGAGGTGTAAACAGTACTCACAGATTATATCAGCAGTGGAAAGTAGCCTTCATCAACAGGAATGCAGTTAAAGCAAAGCCGTTACTTATTCTTAAATTTGATTATTGCCTCAATGTTAAACCTTTAATTGACTTAACGCCACTATATAAGGGCAACATAACATTACAGGAGGAACTAAAAAAGGATAATTAAAGGCATAACTGTTTTTGATTGTACTAAATTGTACATATGCACCTTATAAAAGTGGCCACTAAGTGTATACTGTATGCATATAGTGTTTGAGCCAGATTAAGACGCTGAACTCCATTTAGACTCACACATTGATCACATGTTAACCTATAACTGAACAAAATATATCTCAACAAGTGTGTGTAAATATCCTGTTGCTGTTAAACAGTGCACCTTCCAGTCAGTTTTCAATGTCACCTACTTGGTGTCGGTATGAAACTGAATTCCACTGACTTGAAACGTCCTGGAAATAGGTAATCCATTACTTTAAAAAACATGTCTGCCTCTTTTTTTGTCAAGGTTATGTTACCATTGCTTAGTACCACAGCTGGTAGTGCAGCAAGACGTTTTACATGGAGCTGTAACACATAGAATACAAATATAAACAATATAAGAATAATAAAGCCAATTCCAAGTAGGAGTTGATTGTGAGATATGTTTGATTTTCTCAAAAAAGGTTTTTAATATAGAGTGACTGACTACTTTTCAGTTTCCTGTTGTTTATAAAGCCCCATTCTGCAAACAAGTGTTAAAGGTAGCTGTCAGATGATGTAGGGTAGTAAAAAGGGCCACGTCTCCTCTGAAGTGGAGTACATCATAAGCCTGTCAAGTCCATTTCACATGGTTCCGACCAACTGCTGCTTGTAATTTGCTATCCACTCATTTGACTGAACCTATTCTGCTGTTCCACATTGTAAATCACTCTAAATAGTGCCCAAGGTGTAACACTTTTTTTATCTTACGTGAGTGATGAGGTCTTCAAAAGAAGCGTTTGTAGCTGGTTCTCCAGCAGCAGCTATGAATGATTAATGACCTTATTTAAAAAAAGAATGTGTGCGGTGTTCTCTGTTTCTTCCCCACACAGTGACCTTGCTCCAGCCTCCTAGAAGACACATCGCCATGGGGAATACAAGCAGCGAGAGGGCGGCCATGGGCCATGGGGAAAAGGCTCAGCGGAGGGACAGCCGGGGAAACAAGGAGGGAGGCGGGCCAAAGATCCTGATGGACAGCCCGGAAGACGCAGATATTTTTCATGGTGAAGATATGAAAGTAAGTTGTCTGAATAACCTGTTGTGAGGACTTTAGAAAAGGTCAGAGAGCGGCGCAGTGTTGCCGTGTTTTTGTAAACAAAGCATTGCAAGAAAACAACAAAAAGCCAATAGGAGTTTGGACTATTGCAGAAAATAAGATCTATGGCAAACACACATTTATGAGTCTTACACATTTTGTTCAGCAGGAAAATATCCACATATGAACACCTATTTTATAGTTGTTAAAGCATAAATGCAATAGGCAGAAGAAAAGAGCTAAAGTAATGATATTAAAGTCACCACCGCTAAGATAAAGGCGTGTAATGTTCAGCGTTATTACAGTTAGTAAAAATCTCATTTGGTCACTTTTTAGCATCCGCCTTTTTTTAAAAGGTAAAAAATCTTGTATTTAACTACTTTCATGCATCTGATAAAAAACATTGTTAAAAAACACGTTGACTTCAATACATGGGAACCAGGAAGTACACCAATGTTAACTCAGGTCCAGGTTAAGGACTCATTCCTGCACCACTCTATTAACAATGGTGGTTTTATGGGTATTTTAGGCTCCGTTAGAGAAAGAGGAGTTCCTCGCATGGCAGCAAGACTTAGAAGCAGATGACAAAGGGCCAACTTTAGACCGACCGACAGTGTTTCGCTGGACCGGAGACGGCAGGGAGGTGTACATCTCTGGATCCTTCAACAACTGGGCCAACAAGATTCCCCTCATCAGAAGGTGAGGGGGCGCCATAAACTCCATAGTGTAGTGTACTTGGGATGTGGTTGAAATATGTTTTACATTTCCTATATTCTAGTCTATATTCGTTACTAGTTAATCAATGGAAAGATCTTTACAGTTTTTAAAATACAGGCCAGCTCAGATTTTGTTGGTGCCCAAAATAGCACATTGTATTGTCACTAGATTAAGTTTGTTGTATTAATAGCGCCTTTATAGTGGTTGATGTTTTAAAGAGAAGTACTGTGTTACCTCACTAAATGTTCCCTCCTGTCATCTGTGTCAAAGTCAGAACACCTTTGTGACTATTGTTGATCTACCTGAAGGGGAGCATCAGTACAAGTTTTATGTGGATGGCCAGTGGACCCACGACCCGACCGAGGTCAGCATTACATAAGAAACTATAATGGACTTGGTGATCATTTTTACAGTCATCAAATAAGAAATTGCGGAGTAGGAGACAGTTAAATGCCCTGCTTATTTATCTGCTATTGTTCAATGTTAACATGTTATTTGCATGTAAACATGTTTTTTTGTTTTTATGAAACTAGTTTTTCATCATAGAAATGATATCGTGTCTGGTCGCTGTGTTTCCCCACAGCCTGTTGTAACCAGTCAGCTTGGGACAGTGAACAACCTCATCCAGGTGAAGAAAACAGACTTTGAGGTGTTCGAAGCTCTAATGGTGGACTCGCAGAAATGCTCCGACATGTCAGGTGAGTGCTGAAAAAAACACATATTGAAATTATTAACTGGGTATTATAGAAAAAAGGATTCCAATATTTGTTTATATGTATTTCTTTCTAGATCTATTCTATCATTCAAGAATATATGTGACCCGCTCTATCGAAATCACTCGGAAGTCGCAACGGCTCATTTCAAAATAAACGTGGATTTGCATAAAAAACTATTTTTTAGGGGTTCGGGTGTTTTGTTTGATTTTAAACAAACAAAGTCTTGGCTTTCAGAATATGAAACTTTTATTTCCAAACTCACACGATAAATACATTCTTTAAGCTTGTAAAGGGAGATGACAGGCAATCTGCTCTTCCGCAGCGCCGCTCCCCCTCCCTCCGGCTGACATTATGAATGTAAGCGTAGAGTAATCATAAATAACACGGCAGGGTCCGTTACAGTTTGTTTTCATCTGATTTCAATTAAAACAAAGTCTTGGCTTTCAGAATATTAAACTTGTTTCGGCAAATTCAGATGATAAATACAACTTTGAAGCTTGTAACGGCATAATTACAAGCGGAGAACGGAGTAACTTAACGTCACAGCAGGCATAACAACAGCCGGTGTTTCTCGTGAGGGTTTCCCCCGGGAAACAAACGCAATACACACAAACGCAAAATTACACAAACACACACACACGTATACACACACACACACACTTGCGAGCTTCTCCCAGACCAGCAATCCAAACGAAAATATCTTCCCTCCGTAGTATTTTGATCATTTGCTCCGCTAATAATCAATCAGATCGATGGATTCCAGAGAAGAGAAAACTTTGAAGGCCTTTTTCTCAAAATGATGACTCGGTGACAGTCATTATATAATGTGACATATTTCGCTTAATATTTGGAGTACAAAAACAATCCTGATATCATTAGAAAGCTAGGAATCTCCTCTTTCCAGCAGTGTATACAACTCAAAATGTGTGTTCGGGTCAATGCGACTGATTTCGATAGAGCAGGTCACATATGGTGTTCTTAGTTTCCATACCTCCTGTGTTTTACGAGCTAAGGGCAAGTGTATATTGAGTTAAGTGGTACATAACTATTGGTAACTGTAAATTAGCTATACAATTAAGTTCTATCTTAATTGTTTAGCAATACAAGGCATTACACTTGTATAATACAGTTTAAAGGATGACTGTACAGATTATATATACATTAGCTGACTTGGTATAATGCTGATGTATCAATAGCAATTGGGGCATAATTACTGATCTTTACAGTTATATAAATACATACTGTCATAATTAAACTGCAAGCAGCGTAGAGCGAGGCTCGACGTTCTCAAGGCTCTTGCCGCTACGGTGCGATGTGTGCGATAGGTGGCCTCGCGACTCGGCGGCCGTTGGCAAACGTGGCACAGTTCAAGCCAATCCGGATCCAGATGTATCTTGGAGTCTACAGCAGAAATCATTGCCTTGTCTTTGCTCGCGAGTACGATCGCTGTCGTCATGCAAACACCTCTTCTCGCTTCGAAGCACATCTCATAATATGCAGTAGATGTGTTCATGGCTGCAATCGTTTCAACGCTGTAAGAGCTCCCGCCGACGGCTAGGAGCATCCAAGCTGGCCTTTCGAGACAGACCGTGCTTCATGTCCGTAGATTGTGCCACCCTGGCAATCACATGTAAGTGTTGACCGTCGCGGACATGTGAGACCCGCGACTTATCAGATCGGGGTCAACGACGACAGGTGTGTTGCCATGGCGACAGCGGAAAACGCACTGTGTCATACTTGAGGCTCCTAACTGGGACCTCACCGTTAGTTCCATCAGCGGAGATGTCCTGGAGCTTTTGACGTTTTTCCACTATACGGAGAGATGAAGAGGATAACTCTGAGTTCTCTTATCCGATCTCGGATGGGACGTGTCGCCATGGCAGGCATACTGATGACATCCCTAATTGGGAGAGCTGTTGAGGCCGCACCATTAGCCATCATATGAAAGTCTGGCGCCAGTTTGGGTACGATTTCATAAATTACAACAACATCGTATTTCTGCGCGGAATCTGTCGCCATAGCAACGGCATATGATGACATCCCTAATTTGAACATAGGTGCTGTTGAGGGCGGACCATTAATGATGAGTCCTGAATGTCTGGTGCTGTTTAACGATTTTTCCAATTGAATTAAAACAACATTGTATTTTTTGGCGAAGATATACGTTTCCATGGCACGGCATATGATACCTCCCATAATTGACATAGAGCTGTGAGGGCCGGACCATTATGATAGTCTGAAGCTGGTGCTGTTTTGGACGATTTTCCCATTGACTTACACAACATGGTATTTTTTGGCGAAGGATGCGTTGCCAATGAGAAGACGGCATGGTGAGATCCCATACATTGGCGTAGAGCTGTGAGGGCCGGACCATAGCCATCATCTGAAGTCTGGTGCCGTTTGGGACCATTTTCATGGAGTAAAGCGACACCGTGTTTCTGGCGGAGGGAATCTGTCGCCATGGAGCAACTGCATATGATGATCTCCCATATGTGGCATAGAGCTGTTGAGGGCGGCCTTTAATGATAGTCCTGAAGTCTGGTGGCCGTTTTGGACATTTTCCATTTGAATTACGACAACACCCTGTTTAATGGCGAGGGATCATGTCGCCATGGCGAACGGCAAATGATGACATCCCCCATATATTGACATAGAGCTATTGAGGGCCGGGACGCATTAATGGTATGTCTGAAGTCTGTGCCGGTTGGGCGCATTTTCGCATTTATTTACACAACATCGTATTATTTGGGCGAGGGACTGCATCTGGCCATGGAAACGGCAGTATGATGGACCGATCCCATAGATGCGAGAGCTGTGAGGGGGCCGACCTATTAATGATAGTCTGAGGCTGGTGCCGTTTGGACCCATTTTCATTGAATTAAACAACACCGTGTTTAACCATGGCGAGGATGGTGGAATTCGCCTAATTGACATAGAGGCTGTTCAGGCGCCGGACCATTAGCCATCATCTGAAGATCTGTGCCGTTTGACGATTTTCATTGAAATTAGGACAAACGTGTTTATATGCCCCGAAGGGGACGCGTTGCCATGCAACGCATATGATACATCCCCATAAATTGGATAGTAGAGCTGTTGAGGGCCGACATTAGCTCATAGAAGTCGGTGGCCAGTTTGGAACGAGTTTTCCATGAATTACGAACAACAGCATGTTTTTTTTGGGCGAGGGATGCGTTCGCCCATGGGCAACGGCATATGAGTGACATNAATTAGAATATTGTGATAAAGTTCTTTATTTTCTGTAATGCAATTAAAAAAACAAAAATCAATATTTCAGTTGATTTGTAATGAATCCAGAATGTATGACATTTTTGTTTTTTTAATTGCATTACAGAAAATAAAGAACTTTATCACAATATTCTAATTTTCTGAGACAGTCCTGTAAGCTATAAAGTCTCAGTGAAACTGGAAGTGTCTGTACATTCTGTACTGTGGCGTAGTCCGCTACAAAACTGAATATTTGAGCAGTCTAGAGTTACAAGAGAGATATCAATTCAATATTCGATCGGACCGCTAAAAAGTTGCCGGATTTAGCGATACAGAGCTGCAATGGAACTCATGAATGGGTGTCATACTTGCATTAGATGGAATTGGAGCAACACAAACATATATTGCTAAATAAGTGTACAACATGACCAGAGATTTGAAGAGGGTTAAAATAAACCTGTTTCCATTGTATCTACACTCAGAGGATTCAGTGAACTCTTAGGAAAACAGCTGCTTCGTTACACATCCAGCAGTTACGGTACATCACTCGAGTCATTTTTTGTGTCAACCTGATTTAATATCTTCTAAAGGAAGTATATTGCTCTTTTAATGCTAAAAGCTCGCCCTAATTTCTTATTAATTACTTCTTGTGTCTTTCCGCTGTTGGGCTGAAAACAAAAAGTGGTAATTGCGAACCAAAACAGTAAAGCTGGACAGATGGATAAGATCCGTAAAGCAGAAAGGAGCACGAGTGATCATTCTCCATACAGTAGGTTCGTCACTATAAACGACACCTTTCACATTATCATAGAAATATTGAGAAAAGCAGTTTTCACAGGCCAGAATATACAAGATATTGTAAATATGTGTACGTTTATTACGTCCAAATGGCAAAACATATAAATTAGTAACATGAATGTGATGTGGTGCCATTACTGTATACAACCCTAGTTTAAGTAAGATTCCAAGTTATATGGGAAATGGCAGCAAAAACAATTAGAATTGAATTATAAGTTATATGTTCAGCTCTGGATTTAACACTGAACTGACAATGCACTTTTGCACTGATGCTGAAAACATAAAAGTCTCAGTAGTCTCATTTTATATTTTGTTCTGGTAAAGAAGCGTGTCATCCCCAATGCCATCAAAATGGACACTGTTACTGTGGCTTATGTCAACCAGAAGGAGATGATGTAATGTGAAAAGTAGACAGCTTGTTATCTTGCTTTCAGTCTTCTTTCTGACTCTCTTCCCTCCCTACGCAGCCAACACCACTTTTCCCTCTGCCAGCTGCAGTTTGCATACAGATGAGATCCTCACTCTGCTGCCAGACGTGAGCATAGACGTGTGCCTTTTTATCTCAGTCTAGACTTTTCACAAAGCATTCAAACATGTTGTGTCGGGATGCTGACCCTCTTTTGGTTTGCTCACCTCACATTGCAGGACTGCGAGTCTTTGCTCTGTTTGTGGTACCACGACTGCTGGGCCTGGCGGGATTCTGACCTTGTGATCACGTCGTCTTCGTCCAGGTCCAGACCCAGGAACACTGTCCGGGCGGTGTTCCTCTCCTTGGCGGTCAGCAGACGCACCATTGAGTTCTAGAAGAAATTAAACAGATTTTGAGATAAGGTGTCCTGCACCTACTCATATTAACTCCCTTCCCCTTGTATGACTTTGATGGCTGTAATTTAGGGACCAAAAAATTAGGTATTTTAGTGCCGAATTCTTGGCCTCAATCATTCTCAATCACATTAGCGCTGTCTGACATAATCAGCAACCGCTGCTTTACCCCAGACACACACACACAGTCCGTTAATGTAATCTCCTAGACGAAAACAAAGCTCGAAATGTGAACTCCGGTAAGGTGACAATGAGTATGAGTAATTCAGGCTGGTGGATGAAAGCCATCATTTCTGGAAGACTTGGCCCTGAGTCCTACTAACACACTAACCTCATCATAAAGTAGTCTACGACCTTTTATTGCATTCTCTACAAGGCTGATTAGAAAGTACTTAGGCCGACCCGAGGAAGGATTGCCTTTGGCAAACACCTTGTTTGGGTGAAAGAGAGAGGATCAGGTAGACATTTTGTGTAAACAAACTATATTTAGTTTGGTTGCTCAAGACAGTTTGTTAGCAAGTGTTATTGGCGGTTCGTTAGCAGTTTGTTAGCAAAAGTTATTAGCAGGATAATACCCTCCATTTTGTATATGTTTTATAGGTGCTTTACATCCAACATGCAATACCTGAAATAAAGAATAGGTTGTTTGCTAATGCGTTCTGAAATGATCCCAGTTTTAAACACATTAATTGAAACTAATTGGTTAAGTTAAGGGGAAAGATTATGGTTTGGTTAAATACGTACATTTATTATGTAACCTAGATTAGCTACATACATCTAAAAATGACATTATGTATGGGCCATAGTTTAGTCCGCCATTTTTTATAAGTTGAATTGAGGTCTCCGGGTCAAAAGTCTATCTCTTCCATCCATACAAAACATTTCCATATGTGGACTAGTCGCTATACGCTACGTCACTTGACTCCCTCCTTCAATCATGTTCATTTACTATGACCACTAAAGATCTCCATGTTACGAAAAAAAACTTTCTGTGCAAGATGCTTAACCTGAAATTGCTCCTAGGCATGTAGTCAATGGTATTGAGTGTGTGTAAGCTACTGTGGACAAAACCATCAGCTAAATAACATGTAATATTTACGTAAGGTAATCTGCAGGCTTCAATTGGATGCTGTAGAAAATTCCTTGAGTTTAGAAGTTGCTTTGTTATTATGTTTTGAATATGCTCAACATGATTCCTCACCTCTGAGCGAAACTTCTTCAACACCACAAGAGACTCGAAGTAAAGGAAGTCCGACCACTCGATGTGACCCTTCTTCTCAGGATCCAGCGCCGCAAACTGGGCCAGGACTTCCTCCTCCTGCTCATCGGTCAGATCCTTGTCAAAAAGATGCTTGGATGCATGATGGCGGTACTGCAGAAGCTCGTCTGACACAATGCAGGACTCTACAGCGGCGGGGAACAACACATCACATCAGACTTAATTAGCCACCGAGCGGTCGTCAATATGTAATTAACTTATCATAACTCATTCTCTACGAAGGAAGGATGACCTCCCACTGTTAGCTCTCTATAAGAGCTGCAGGATGATACCACACATTTGGAAGAAGCAACGGTAGGGGCAAATAATGTAAGAACTCTGACTTGGAAATAACCTTAAAATATTCAATGGAACAAAACAGTGGGATTTGATTTCATATTACGGTGGCTTGACGCTGACACAGTATATTTGTTGTTGGACATTTATCCTTTTTTAGCTAACTATCATTATTCCCTCTTGTTTTGAGTTTCAACTCTATTTAATGTTTAACATTGCAAACAGATAACAGGGCTAATTATGTCTCTGGAAATATACAAACAAGAGTACGAGTCTCCAGCCAACATTCCCATCCCTTAAAATACATATAACATTCTCTAACTGCTTAATATTTTATAGAAATTGACAGACCTCCTGCCACTTTAAAACAAAAAGTTCCTCTTTGATTTTGGCATTCAGTTTCAGTGCTTAGGAGATATAGAAATATAATCAACCTGTTTGGAATACAATTAATAAAAATAATTTACAATAAGGAAAAAGCGAAATAAACATAATGATTTCAAAACAACACTATAATAAAAAGTTAGGGTTACAAAGTCTAATTTGTAACTGTTCTGACAGGACATTAAATACCCTACTACTCTTTGATGAAATATGTCATCAAAAGGCTGCCATACTCTAAAGAATTTTTCATGGAAACATTAATGTATCCAGCGTTTAAACGTCGAAGAAGAGGCTCATTTCCATTTCCATTTGATTGCCTGTTCGGTAAAAGGGTATAAATACAAAAAATTGCTGTAAGGGGGTTGGATTCAATAGTATTTTTGTGAAAATACTTCATCCGGTACTGCACAAACAGAAGCTTGGGACAGAACCAAAACGCCCTGATTTAGACAAATGGAACCAATGCCCTACTTTTAAATTTAATTTATTTTATAACCTTGTTGCGGTGACTCACCTGGAATGATCTTGCACTGCTTGAAAGTCTCCATGAGGCTGTACATCTCCTCCTCTGTTAGCAGCAGATTTAGATTATCCTGCAGAAAAGGGAGTGAGACAGGGGTAGAGAAATACATTACGTAGAATATATGCCACTCACACATTTTCTTTTACAGTCAAGTGGTACATTACTTGATGTATATAAGTGAGTGTGCTGTAATCACATAGACATAGTCCCAGATGGGGCTCCTCCTGTAATTAGAGTATTGGATTGTGAATCCATCTCAGCAACTTGTTTCCCAGGTGACTCACATGATGTGCTTATGTATCTCTTACTCTCCTCATAATTACATCATTAGTAGAAACTAAAAAAGAAAGCCAGAATGACAAGAGAGATTTCCAGTGCATTTCAATTAAGGCGTTTTAAGGGCCACAAGGCCATTACAATGGAAACATAACTTTGAATTGAAACAATATGTTATGCACTTTGCTAGAACATTACATCATGATTTATCCTCTTACTTAAATACACAGAACTATTATTTATGTGAGTTTAGCGAAATGTTGTGTAGCAAAGAATTATGATAATTGAGCAATAATGGATGAGTGATGTGTAAAAATATAAATCCAGGCAACAGCACATCCACAGGCCAGGAAAATCAGGAGACTGCTATTTGAATATTTGTATTTGTATATTACTTGTACATTATTTATCAGGTAAGTGGCATGATGGAAGTTTAATAACCCTTTTGGGATTACCGGGGTTAGTCAATTCCAGTTTGTTTACATGGGCCTCACTCACTGTTGCAATGTGTCAGGGCTTCATAAAATCCACATTATGAAATCTAAATGAAAAAGCTCAGCCGCCCACTCTTCTAAAAAAAACGAAAAAAGCACCCTCTAGTTCAGCAAATACGGGCGAAATCAAAAAGAGAAGCATAATGATCGGGAAAAGAATATCAATTTCATGACTTCATAGATAATATTTTTCCCTTGTCCCAAACAAATGTAGTCCGTCAACATGAATTTGACTGCAATTAAAAAGTGGTCTAATAAAAATAAATACGATTTTTATAGCGCTTTTCCTAATGCTCAATGATGCTTAACATAAAATCAGATCAGAACAACAAAAACAAAAGTCCTTATCCAATTGCGAAGTCAAATGTGTGGTGGGGGGGGGGCGCGGAGGTTGATGATTAGAGATTGAAAGCTAGAGAGAATAAGTTAGTTTTTTAAGGCTTTTTTTAAGGATTCAAGGGGAGCCAGTGGAGGTCGTGGAGGATATATTGAAATTAGTTGTACAGTTAAATGTGAGGATTTTGATGTGTTGCTAAATATGCTTTTATCTGACTTAATAATTAACGTGTGATACTGTTTTGTATCGGCCTCATTAAATCAAGACTAATAAAATAGTATAATACCAAATACTGGAATGTCCCCTAACAGTATTTCATATAAACATGAAGAAAAGTTCATGGCGCTGATTAAAACCCAATTCAGACACAACCTGCCCACACACTGCCACTGACTGAACTCCCACACATATTTTTCCAGCCGTTTACAAGCAGAAAAGTTTCTCCCCTCACAAACAAGGCCTCATTATATCCGCCATGGGGGATGGACAAGTGTGGCAATAAGCTTTGTGACGTCCTCGTGCTTTTCTTCAACCTTTCATCCAGATCAACATCTTGCCCTCCCGCTGTCTGCGCATCAAGAGTAATGCGTAGCCAATTACACTATAGCACGTCCTTCCTGCGAATATCCGGATGTTGTAAATGGGTGCTAATTCCTAACCTACTTAATATTTTAATGGATACGGGAATCTCACTCACATGTGGATGTCCTTTCCTCCTTCCCCTCTTTAATTTATCAAATTGTGCACGTGACTTTGCAGGTGTAACCCTGAACATATCCGCCCTGAATGACCATTCAAAAGTCAAGGAAATCCAAAAATAGACTGAACACTACATTAAGCAAATGTATGACATTTTGATTTTGACATAATTTTACCGAGACTGAAAGCTTTGACCTGGCCATACAACAGCCAACAGAGGTCTGAATTGTTTGAAAAACCCAATGTGTTCTCCACATTATATTGTACTCATTCTCCAGTGGCTGCTTTTTTTTAAATCAGCAATTCCTTCAAAAGCCCCACATTGTTGCATTTAAAGGACAGGCTCAGAGTACAATATGGTATTGTGGCCAATATGTTTTAATAATAATAATAGTTTTAAAGTAGCTGCAGAGTATTTTATATATGTTACAGTATCAGTCAGTATCAGTCAGTATCAGCGACAGGCGCATGTTGTAATACTGTTTTAAACCCGTTTATATATGACACAAACAGTCATATATAGCATTTGGGATTCATTTGCAAATTACCTACTGTGTTATGAGGAAGTGTTGTTTTTCCTTAGCCATGTGGGTGGTGTTCAAAGTTGCACCTTAATCAAAAATATGTGCAGTTCCCTTTGTATTATCTCTTGTATCTAACTTAGAGTATCATTGATTTGATTTGATTGTGTTTTTTTTTTGTTAATGCATTCCGCTGTATTTTTTAATGTCCTGGTAAAAATGTACTTAAATAATCAATTTCTCATTACTTGTCTGTCACTATAAAAACAAGATAATAATCAATAAAGGACAAAACTAATCAATCATGCTGTAAAGTTGCCTCCTTTTTTTATGCCGGACATCAATTCTCTGCAATGCTCACCAACAGTCAGCAAAAATCAGCTATCGGTGCTATAATTATATTTCTGTGTTAGTCAACATTTGAAACATGAGCAAAGCACAAAATGTGATTTAAGGGTTATACAACACCTAGAGACAGCTTCTTGAAAATTAACACAAAAGGCCCCCGGGGGAGAAAACGGTATAATAATAACAAAACATTCTAATCTTATTCTGGCAGCTTGCATAAATAGACGTTCAAGACTTTTCTCTTCTGACAAATGACAGCATTGATGTGTTTGTTCAAACTGCTTTAAATAGGCTGCTGAAGCAGGTAGTAAGAAAACAATCTTAATGTTTTCAAAGCTTCAGGAATCAGAATGTCTTTGTGAACAGTGAATTATAATTAGATTAGTCTGTGTGATGTGACAGATGTCGCTCGCAGTGAAACAACTACTACATTATGTCATGAAATGAGATAATTATAACCCAGCCCTGAAAATACCCTGTGAAGTAACATTAAGCGATTTGTTTCAAAAACTCTGCTTTGATTAACCTAAGTAAAAGTGCTCCAGTATGCTAGCTTTGAAGGTACATATTGCAGCTAACTCATTACATTGAAAAAAATAAATCAAAATGCTCCTTTATCCTATAACTGTATCTGTCCAACCAACACAATTATTTGTAAAGGTAAGTGGAAATAATACCAAAAGTGGGCGTGGTTTTTGCCGTAATTTAGATGAAATCTGGTGAATATTGTAGTTTCTAACCTAATACGCTTGGTAATGCAATTTTTCGTATTCAAATAATCTGATTTATGCTGTTACCATATTATGATATTTATAAATCTGGGTTTTATGAACTGTCTGATGCAGATTCTCATCTCAGACAAATAATAATGACTGGAACAAAGAAAAACGAAGTGAAAAAACAAATCAATTTGAAAGAAATGTATTTGAAATCTCTGCATTGAGGAAGTTAAGGAGGACATATAGAACCTAAGTATTGCGGCAGTAATCTTAAACAAAGTGCCGCGAGGGACTAAACAAGAGAAAAAACACTGTGGACGCGCAAAAACTCAGTCTTTCTAAAAGTATGCGTTTGACCTTTTATTTCCAAAGCAAAAATGCAATATTCCATATCCATATGCGTATATTCTTGTATGCGTGCGTGCATGCATGCGGTCAACAAAAATTGTCCTTCTCTAGCTCACTCCCCCTCCGAATATTACAAAGTGCGCAGGTAAAAGCAACCGGATATAACCACAAACGTCACCACACAAATCCAATGACACGCCCACCACCTATAGTGACTCAAAAAACATGTACCGTAACAAACACAGAAAAATACTTCAAATGTGGCTCCTGCACTAAATTCTAAAACAAATAAGTCAAAACGTCTTAAGATTAAAACAGAATTGGCCTTTTTTAACTTGTATGTATCAATTTAAAGAAGCAATGCTCAGACATGTCAATCATGGCTTTATTCTTGCCCCTGAATAACAATCAGTAACTTTGCCTTTAAAAAGCATCGCATTGTTTTCCATAATATCCTATCCAGCTTGGTGACTGAAGCACGGCCCCGGAAAGAGCACATATTGGCTAGCAGCAAGTATTAAAAAGAAGTATGTGGTATGAAAAAGGGTCGTCGTGTTCATGAACCTTTCCTATGTGGGATGGCAGCCATTGACCCAAACATGCAGCACTCTGCACTTTGAAGACTGTCTCTAAATCCACTTTCAAGGAAACTCAGTCCATCTGCCCACCACAGTCCCCAGTGCCCTTGTGAAATGAAATGTCAGATGTGACGCAAAGGGGGGATTTGTAACAGCTCCTTTAGCTGTGAGGACTACAATTTACCATTTGAATAAAACAGCACTGTCTCTCCCTCGCTCATTCCGCCCCCATCATCACAAACCGGAGGAGCTCGCCAAATACAGAGGACCTTTTGCTGTCTTCTCTCTGATTGTGTGAAAACATCCGCAACTTTTGGGAAGTGGTTCCACTTCTCAGGGCTGCCGAAAGAACCGCAAAGCTCCCACTCCATCCTGAAGGGCACTCAGGCAAAAGCACTCTCCAGTTGTTTATGTCTGAATTAAACGTGATTGCATTATGCCTCTCTGTGATCACCAGAGTCAACCGTTTTGGCATCTGCCTTCAATGCAAATGATTTTTTTAAACGATAAAACTCTCCCAGTTGCTCGACTTTACTTGACCTCTAGTTGAATACATTTCCATATAAAGATATTACAGTTAAAAGCTTAATACAAAGACGTCTCTGTCCTTATCTCACCCTTGCTGAAAGTCATTATGGGCCATAAATGAAGTTGATGCTTCTAAGTTGACTTTTAACAATCTTGCACATACTGTATACTGTATCCATGTCACAACGAGGATGGTACATATTCCAACATTATTTTAACTACAATTAACATTGTAACGACTGAAGTCCTAATTATAAACTATTTAATTACAAGTGCATTAACAAGCTCATGTGAGATCTCATGTGAAAAATAATAGCAGAAACTATTGATTAAACCTGCTGCTATGGCAACTCTTGCGGGTAGATGTACTCAGCTGTAGCTAATTAATTTTGCTAACTCAACCAGGGGCTGTGTCCCAATTCAGCAGCTGCATCCTCCTGAGGAATATGAGCCATCGTTAATGACATCAATTCCACGTGTGTGTTCCCTGCTATGAATGTCTGTCTCATTTTCCGTGAGTCTGTTCATTTACATTCACACATAGATTGTATAAAGTGGAGGTAGCCTCCGGGTCTGATCAGTGAAGACATGAGTAAGTTCCTCAAACCTACATTATTTCTAATGGCCAGCAGGGCCACTGGTTGCAAAATAAGTCTAATTTTATAGAAGTGTACGAGAATATGAGCCTACTTTAGATCTTGATTATGCTTGGTTGGCTAAAGGCAAACAGACCGTGTTCAAAACCATGTAAATCACAAAAATACACATTTCTTGTCATTTATAGAACATAATAAAAACAAGGTATTTCATTTATCAGTCATTTTAGAGCAATTACATATTTCGGTACCACTTTACAATAAGACTTATAAAGGATTCATAAAGGGTTTATAATTAGGTTATGAATTAGGTTGTAAACACTTTATTAATCATTAAGAACCATTTATAAACCAGTTCTAACATAGTTTCCATACATCAACACAGGCTCACTATTTGGCAAGATGACTAAGCCTTATATTGGCTACTTAGCGAGAATCAACTCAGTGAACAACAGATACCAAGGATGCTGGCTGATGAAGAAGACGAACCAAATGCTTATCAAAATCCTACGTAAATTAATTAATCCAACACTCGTGTCGGACACTACTTTAGGAATATTCTCCGAAAATATTTCTGTACTCGTTATTTGCTCCCGTCTGACCCCTGGCCAAAAAAACGGTTTATTCACTACGGGTTGGTAGACATCAGACATGACGATTCGGAATATAACCGAACTCCGGGCA